GCATGTCAGCACTCAGTGCCCACCGTCCTCTCTCAGTACCCACCATCCTCTGTGATCACATCACCATCACTCAGTGCCCACCGTCCTCTGTGATCACATGTCAGCACTCAGTGCCCACTGTCCTCTCTCAGTGCCCACAGTCCTCTCTCAGTGCCCACCATCCTCTGTGATCACATGTCAGCACCACTCAGTACCCACCGTCGTCTGTGCTCCATGTCACCCCTGCTTAGTGCCCACCATCCTCTGTGCCCCGGGTCACCACCGCTCGGTGCCCGCCATCCTCTGTGCTCACATGTCACTGCCCCCCATTACTCACCATCCTCCGTGCCCCTGGTGACCACCGCCACCGCCCCCTGAGCCTGGCTGTCTGTGACCTAGGAGCTGTTTAGCAAGCAGAAGGGCTACCTGGATGAGGAGCTGGATTACCGCAAGCAGTCCCTGGACCAGGCTCACAAGGTAAAGGCAGCTCAGCCAGCTGCCAGGCCTCCCAGGGACCCCGGCCCGCGTGCAGCAGGACTTCAGAGACTTAGGGGCCATGCTGCTGCGTGTTCCTGCAGCCACATCACCCCAAGGGGAGCTCTGCCTTCAGTCAGTGGAGCACCGTTCCTGGTCAGCAAGGACTTGGGCCACAGATAGGAAACACGCTCGCCCCATTCCCGGGGTCTAGGGCCACTCCTTCGGGTCATTCCTCAACGCAGAGGGAACCTGCACGGTAGACTGAGGTATCCTAGGATGTCAAGACCAGAAGTCCTTAGGGAAGCAAACTCCTCTTCTTCCTGTTACAGCAGCTGGTGGCTTTGAACTGCTGACCATCTTGTCAGCAGCTGCATGCCTCAGGCACAGCACCCCCAGAGTTCTGAGTACCCATCATGCCAGCTCAGGTCCCCGAGGCTGGAAGTCTTTACAGGGGACGCTGTCTCATCGCTCCCTTAGAGGGGTGACTCGAACCGCCGACCTGTTGGTTAGCCCCCAGCACGTGATGCTCTATACCCCAGAGTCCCTTGCAGGCTCAGCGGACTCCTCACATTGGCTGGTCCTCTAGAGGGCATGCGGCCCACCCCGGGATTCCCGTCACCTGTGAAAGGTCCACTGAGCATCTCACCACCTGGTTTCTGTGAGCCATCGTGATGCTAATCCCAGGCCGGAAACCCACCCCTTAAAAAGCTTCCTAAAAGCGGAAGCTTATCTTTTGCTTTAAGTGGTCTTTGATGTGGGTCCCTGAGCCGGTCCTGTCAGCTGTGGGAAGCTTAGTTTATAAAATGTCGGTGGCATCAAACACATTCTTTCATTTCTCAACTTCTTACTAAACCATTTGTCCTGAAGAAAAGGGAACGTTCATTTCTGAAGCGGTTACTTTTTTGTTGGAAGACGTGTCCTTGTAACCTGAGAGTTTGTTCACATATTTTATCAATAGATCTTCCTGAAGGACAGGTTTCAAGGAGCTCCACGTCCAGGTCTGGGGGCGTAGTGCCCAGCACGTTGGGCTAGTAGGAGGCTGGAATTTTGAATCTGCTGGTAACTCTCCAGGAGACAGATGGAAGTGTCCCTTGGTAGCTAGTTGCAGCCTCCGAGACCCTGGGAGGGTCTTATGAGTTCCTAGGGACGTGAGAGTGGTCTCTGGGTGGTGTGAGTGGTGAACAGGCTCGATGGCTGATGGTTGAAGGTTCAAGAACACCCAGCGGAGAGGCCTGGGGGTGGCTTTCTGCAAGACCAGCCCTTGGGAACCCTGGGCCGCACCCAGGTCTCTGTGGTCAGAACTGAATCTGTGGCTCCGGTTTAGTTGTTGTTATTGTTGTTGTCAAGGTGCCCTTGGGTCACCAACACCCCATAACAAGTCTGTGGACAGCAGTACCTGGCCCTGTCTCACCCTGTCCTCGCCGTCCGTGTGTCCTCCAGCCTGTTGCTGCGGTCACTGTGGCAGCTTGTCTTGCTGGGAGTCTGTCCTCCTCTGACCCTCTGCCTTTCCCAACACGAGGTCCTTTTGCAAAGACTGTGCCCTTCCCCCACAACATGCCCATGTGGGGTGACACTTCGCCATCCTTGTCTCTAAGGGGCACCCTGGGTGCATTTTCTCCAACACAGACCTGTTCGTTCTCCTGACAGCCCACGGAGTGTTCAGAACTCTTCGCCAACACCACAGCTCAAAGCCATCATTTCTTCTTTGGTCTGTCTTACTCATGATCCAGCTCGTAAGTCCGCAGGAAGCGGTTGAAGCTTCCATGATGTGGATCGTTTGGGTCAATTCTCCTGTTGTCACTGCAGCCCGTAGCAACCCTATGTGCAGCAGCTCTGAACTCTGCCCTGTCCTGAGCCCGTCTCACTGACTGACATGCCATCTCCTATTGCTCCAGTCACTGTATCAATCCGTCTCATCCAGGATCTCCCTCTTCTGCACTGTCCATCCACCCTTCCAAGCATGACGTCCTTCTCCAAGAGCCAGTCTCTCCTGGCTACATGCCCAAAGTATGTGAGATGGAGCTTCAAAATCCTAGCCAACAAGGAGAGACTTGGTTTCACCCTCTCCAAGACAAACCTATTTGTTTTCTTGGAAGTATTGTATGTTCAAGACTCTTCTCCAGCACCACCATTCGAAGGCATCGATTCTTCTGTCATCCTTAGTCATTGTCCAGCTCCCTGATGCATAGCAAGTAATTGTGAAGACCATGGTCTGGATTAGGTTTACTTTAGTCTCAGACTGATATCACTGCTTTTCAGTACTCTGGAGGAGTCCCCGACAGCAGATTTTCCCAGTGCAATTTGTCTTTTGATTGATTTCCTGACTACTGGTGTTGATTGTGGAGCCAAGCAAGCTGTAGTTGCAACCTCAATCTCTTCTCCATCTGTCATGGTGCTGCCAGTTGGCCTAGTGGTGAGAAACTGTCTTCCTGATGTTACGCGTCAATCCATATTGAAGACTACAGTTCTTGACCTTCTGTAGCAAGCACTTCAGGTCTTCTTAAGTTTCAGCAAGCAAGGTTGTGTCATTTGCATAGTGGAGGTTGTTGATGAGTTTTCCTCTAATACTGATGCCATAGTCCTCCCCATAAAGCACTGCTTCTTGAATGATGTGTTCTGCATATAAATTGAAAGGGTCTGGAACGGGATGCATTCCTGACACACTCCTTTGCTGGTTTTGAACCATGCAACCCTGCTCTGTTCTAAGGACTGCTTCCTGGTACAAGTACACATTTTGCGTGAGCACAATCAAGTGTTCTGGGAGTCTCATTTTCCTCAAGGTTCGGCACAGTTTGTTGTGATCCACACATTCAAATGCTTTTGTATAGTCAATGAAACACAGATACACATTCCTCTGGGACCCTTTGCTTTCTGCCAAGATCCATCTGACATTGGCGATAACATCTCTTGTGCCACGGCCTCTTCTAAACCCAACTTGTATTTCTTGTAGTTCTCTGTCAATGTACTGGTCCAGTCATTTCTGGATGATCTTCAGCAGGATTTATAGGAAGCAATTGAAGATAAACCATGGTGTGGATAATTTAGGCCAGTTCTCCTTGAAGTCTTTGAAACATAAACATGGATTCATTTGCTGAAGAAGAGGAAGTTGAGTGGACTGTGCCCTAAACCCTCTGACATGAGAACATTGTCTGACGTGAAGGGAATCAGTTACCCAGTGAGCCACTGGACAGTGTTTGGGTTTTCATTTTTCCTCTATGTTCATGTAACCATTCATAGTCATCATGTTTTGTACATGTACTTTGCGTTTTCTATAGTCTTTCATTTATGTTGTGTTTATTCATGTACCTTGTGCTTTATATAATCATTCTTCTCATTCTTTTATATACTTAGAGTTGCCCCAGCCCTATAACCAGCTCCTCTCTTTAAGTCTCCTCTGAATTGTCCCTACTCCTTCAACCCCTTTGACCCACTAACCTCTGCCACTCAGTGATTCTCCGCCTTTTCTGTCCCACCTGCTCTTCCTTCCTTTTTTTATTTTCATTGTTCAAGGTATCTTATTATGACGCAGCATTTGTGTTAGTACACAGCAAAATATATTTCCAATGAACCTATTTTATAAAATTCAAGTCTGTAATTAAAAACAAATGAATCTGAGGATACTAGGCATTCAGGTATACATGTTATAAAGTCCCACCTGTGCAACCTTCTTTTATTAATCAGCTCAGTGAAGATGCAAACCTTGGCAATGGGGGTCATGAAGACACATGAATGGCCTGAATCTTGAGCAGAGGAATCATATGAAAGAATCATGCTCAATACTAACTGAAATTGGCTGCATACTTTTGCCCGGGAGCACCTCTCAGTGTACCTTAAACACATTTACCTTTGGAAAAGACTTTTTTCCTTGACAGCAAGATAAGAAATTTCTTGATTCTTGGTGGTCATATGAGTCAGGGCCCCACAGGGCATGTGTTGAGGTTTCACACAGTAGGAGGCTTCTTCGTTTTCAGAGTCCAGGTACTGGCACAGTTCAGCACTTGTGTTTGCAGTCAGGCCACATTCAGTGAAGATATGAGCAGTGCCATTGACATACTTACCTGTGAAAATCACCCTGTCATACCCTTGGTTCCTTGCCCTCCAGAGAGCTGACGCCCCTTCACTGGGGTGCATGAGCAGCAGGGACAGAGACACCTGGCCCTCCCAGAACAAAGTGAAGCGGACAAGGTAGGTGCCATTGTGGAAGTCAGTCACCTCTCCTGAAGGCCCCGCCTTCAGGGCCGGCGAAGACATCCTGGCCCTCAGGAAATCCCCACCGTACTCCTTCCTGCGTCCCAGGTGGTCTCTCATCTCCAGCAGGAGGTCTAGCTGCTCCCCTTTGCAGTAGGTGTCCTTCCTTTTTTTTTAACATTGAGATAGCAAGGGTAACATGCACTAATAAGTCTTCATCTAGGTTAAAAACTCTGATTCTGTCTTCTTTGATATTCAAAAAGTAATACTTTGACAAAGAAAAAAGGCTAAATGACTTCCTTCAGAGAGGTAGAAATGAGCATCTTTATTTAAACAGTTTCAATTTAGATAAGCTATCTTATTTAGATATGCTGGCATCTCAGTTTTTCCATATAAAAAAAATCTCACCACTGGACCAATGGACAATATCATGATAGATGGAGAAAAGGTTGACGTTGTCAATGACTTCACTTTACGTGGGGCCATAATTAACACCTATAGTAGCAGCAGCAAGAAATCACAGATGTGATGGACTGGGGAAATGTGCCCTCACTGACCTCTCCAGAGTGCTGATGAGCAAGGATATCTGTTTAAAGACTGAGGTGCACCTACCCAATTCATGGTTTTTTCAGTTGTTTGTGGTGCATCTGGAAGTTGGACAGTGAATAAGGAAGACTGACGAGGAGTTAATGCCTTTTAGTTGTGGTGGTGAAGAGTATTAAATGTATTGTGGATTTGCAAAAGAACAAATCATTCGGGCTTGGAGAAGTGCCCCAGAGGGGCCCAGAAAGCCAGGACGATAGAGAGTCCAACGACAGCAGCGCCTCGACGATTTAAGGTTGATGGCTTGGGCATCTCATGCGGCTGTGACAAGTATCACAAGTGGATGACATTAACAAATAGAAAGTCATTCCCTTACCATTTAAGTGGTTGTTTTCGTTGAGTCCTAACTGGCCCATAGCTGACCCTTCAGCGGATTTTCCGTCAGTTAATCGCGTGGGAGGAGACTGCCCATCCTTCTGCAGAGCAGCTGGTGGATTCGGACCGTGGGCTTCGGGATTGCAGCGTAGCTTCTTGTCACGTAAGTGGTTAGAAGCCCAAATTCAACATGGCAGCAGCAGGGCAAGGCCCTCATTTGACGTCCATGTGGAGGAAAGTTCTTGTGTCCTTCGGAACCTCCAGCCCGGTGTTCTCTGGGCTCCAGGTGCCTGGCTCCCGGTCCTGCAGAGCTTTAACCTGCAGTTCCACAAAGACCTTCAGTGCCGCTGTCTCCTGGTAGCCCTGTGCACCCCACCGACCCAGCTCTCTACTGATGTGCACTGGCCACACCCACAGCGGGGGCCTCCGCTCATATCTGGCAGAGCTCAGTCTTGTGGAAATGACTTGGTTTATCAGGATGTGGGGGAGCGTTATGCAGCCTCCATATTCTATCATTACAGACGCATTTGGGGGAGCACAGTCAATGACAGTTGACTTCCACAAACGTCCTCACAGTCACGGTGCAGACAGTGAGCCCGGGCTGTTGTCCCTCCACTGGCTGATCGTTGATCCTCTCGCCGCTCCTTCTGCGCAGCCAGCACTGACCAGCACCAGGCCTTCCTCGCCGCTGATCTGGGGCGAGCTGGGTGGGGGTGCGGAAGGTCCTGACTCTGGCTACTTGGGTGCATGGTTTGTGATCACGGAGACATGGGTGACACGTGGGGACCCAGTGGAGGCTACGTTGCCGTGGCAAGGTCATGCCCTGGCACCTGCTGGTGGTCCAGGCTTCCTGCCACTAGTGTCAAGCCTTCAAGCAAACTCTTCCTCCCTGAGTCTGTTCCCTCATCTCTGCACTAGGACTCCTGACCCTTCCTGCCTCGTGGAGGGGTGGGACACAGGGTGACCTGGCCACAGTGGTTTACCAGTGGGAGGGAGGATGGTGGTGTGCTGGAGCGCGAGGCAGGAGGCTGGATGAGGGCCTTCTTTGGAGCCACGGTGGGCTGTAGAGAGAGGGCCATGCTGGGGGTTCTGGGTGGACACTTGCTGGGTGAGATGTGTGCATGGGTATCCTGGCCGAGGGGAAAGTCAAGGACTAGCCTTGTCTTCCTGTGAATCTCAAATGCATCTTTGCAGTAACTCTGTATCCTTCTAACTGGGGACAGTACATGAAGGCCCGGGGACCTGAGAGTTTAATCGCATTTGGGATGAAAACAGAGCCCACCCTCCCTCTGTCACTTCTCCCCCAGGGCACGCCCTCTCGCCAACTCTGCATCCTCTGGTTTCTGGCTCCTGTTTGGCGATATCTGCTGATGACATGTTTCCTCAGTTTAGTGACGGTTCACCATTGCACCTCATTTCCCAGTGAAATGGCTCTCCCAGCTCTTAGCTGCTTTTCACTGTAGAGACCGCCCTGTGGGCCCACACGGAGGAGCGAGGAGTGCCCTGATTCTGGGGAGGGCTCACAACCTTGTTATCCTGAGGCGCCCTGCCCCCTGACTAGTCATCTCAGATGCCCCTGGGGGTTGGCTGTGCTTCTCGGAAGGGAGCAGCAACTGACGGTCTCCTGGGACCCCCGCAGCGCATCCTGGAGTTGGAAGCCATGCTGTACGATGCCCTGCAGCAGGAGGCTGGGGCCAAGGTGTGTGCGATGCTGTCGGAGGAGGAGCGTGAGAAGCTCCAGGTCGCCGTGGAACAGTGGAAGCGCCAGGTCATGAGCGAGCTGCGGGAGCGGGACGCCCAGATCCTGCGGGAGCGCATGGAGCTGCTCCAGCTGGCACAGCAGGTGCGCACTGCAGGCAGGTGGGGGGACCTGATGGGGGTCGGGCCCAGAAGGCCAGGGCCTGGCCAGGAGCCCAGTCAGGGTCCCAGGACCAGGACCTCCAGGGCCAGGACTGTCCAGTGACATGATCTCCAATGACCGGACTCTCGTGAGCTGGCCGCTCAGTGGCCAAGGCCTTCAATGACCAGGGCGTCCAGTGACTGAACTCTCCGATGGCCAGACTCTCAATGACCAAGCCTTCCATAGGCCAGGGCCTCTGATGACCAGACTGTCTAGTGACAAGACTCTCCAATGACCAGAACTTTCAATGACTAGGGTTTCAAATGACTGGATAATCCTCTTGTGACTGGACTGCCCAATGGCGTGACCTTTCAATGACTGGGCCCTCCAATAATGAGGCCCCAGTGACTGTCTTTGCATGACTAGACCTTTGAGTGACCGGGGCCTCAATGACAAGACCCTCCGTGGCCCACACATGGCTTGTTCCCTGGCTCTGTCCTAGGGTGTGTCCCTTCAGTGACCCCCTCTCCTGAGTCCCCTGGTTGCTGCTGTGTTGTGGTGACAGCTGTGCCCTGGGCTCCCACTTCCTGTTCGTAATATGTGGTTTATGACTGGAGAAGTCAGGCCGGTGCAGATGGGCAGGTCACGCTCTTTGTGCCCGTACGAATTGGAGATTCATGGCCGCTCCGCAGAGAGCAAGTCTGCCGGCACCGTCTCTCCAGCGGCAGATGGTCGCTTCGCCCCTTCTGCCCCTTGTTCTCGTTCCCAGACGGTTCACAGTGCTCATGCACGCGTGATCTCGCACACTGCAGTGTGAACATGTGTGTTCTCTGGAGAGCGGAATTGCCACATTTGACGGCAGTGTGCTTACTGCACGCCCAGCGACGGTGACTGTCCCTCCCCGGAGTGTCTGTGCTCACCAGCCACTGGCCTGGCGAGCTCTCTCAGCTGTCCGGGCCAAGCAGGAGACCGAGAATGATGCTGGCCTGGGGGTCCTGGGCCAGGCCCCTCCTTTGCTTAAAACAGAGTGGTTTTGGTCTCCGCAGAGAGGACAGGTTCTGGCCCCACAGACCATGTGTCACTTTCAGAATGTGAAGATCCAGGCAGGCTGGGGGTGGGGGTGGGGGGAGAATGTCCACTATCTTGTGAGTCTCGAGGTCCTGCTCTGTGGGGGTGACCGGACGCATTTGAGGACACCCCAGAACGTCCCCACTGAGTTTCCCTGAGGCGTGGCTGAGGCACTCCTGCTTTCCCACTGCAGAGGATTAAAGAGCTCGAAGAGAGAATAGAGGCACAGAAGAGGCAGATAAAGGAGCTGGAAGAAAAGGTAAAGGGGCACTGTCTCCTCACGGCCGAGCCCCTGCTGACCCAGACAGCCCTCCCTGAGCCTCCCCCATTCCCCACTGGCCCCCTTCCCATGCCCCGCAGTGGCCTCAGCGGCCTCGTCCTGTCTGTCCGGCCGTCCTGTCTGTCCAGCCGTGTGGTCAGGGTGCCTTCACTCACCACGTGCCTCTCTTCTCTCTCTCCCTCCATCTCCTTCCTCCCCTCCCTCTTCAGTTCCTCTTTCTATTTCTGTTTTTCTCCCTAGCTTTCATTCTCTGGTCTTAGCTCTTCTTGGCCCCTTAATGTGGTGAGTATCTGCAATGTTGGGCCCTCCTGCCATGGTCAGCTGTGGCCTGGGGGGGCCACCTCTTTTCAGGCCCAGCTGGTCCCCCAGGAGGGTGTCAGCATGGGGTGTGGCCAAGCAGGGCCCCCCAGGGTGGTTTTCAGCCAGGATCCAGAGGGTTCCTGTGGATGGAGGTGCAGAGGCTGCCTCCAGAGAGGGAAGCAGAGCCCCCAGCCCCTCCCAGGAAGGTAGCCATGCAGCTGTGCTCCTGGTCTAGGGAGGCAGCCATCCGCAGGGACAGCTACCCATTCACAGCAGGCTGGAGCTGACCACCTGCTGACCGTGGCCACCATCCGGGAGCGGGAGCCAGGGCAGGAGGGGCTGACCTCTGAGTTCTGCTCAGTCTGCAGCCCCTCCAAGGGAATAAACATGGTGCCTCACCGGAGCCCCCCAACTGTGGTTACCCCCCACACCTCACCTAAGCTCACCTGGCCCCTCCACTGCCTCCAGCTTCACCACTACTCCCATGACCACAGGCTCCCCCCGCCCCTCTCCCACCCTGACTACACCCTGCTGGGACTGTGCCCTAGCACGGCCCCCTCCTCTGCCTCGGACCCACCACCTTCCCACCATTCCCCATCTGAGACCCCTCCCCTCAAGATGGCCTGCCCTCCTCAGTGACCACGTCCCCTTCCCCTAATTCCTCTCTGCTAAACCATAGTTTCCTCCCACTCTGCCCCCATCTATTACCCCTCCCCTCAGGGTGGTCTTCCCTCCACAGGGACTACACCCCATGACTGCTCTCCATTTCACCATGACTTTCCATTCCATCCTGTCCTGCTCAGTCACTGTGACTTCCCTTCCTTCCACTGAACATATCCTCTCATGTCACCTCTGCCTCTGATATCAGCCTCTGCCACCCCCCCCCAGGTCCCTCAGTCATGGCTTCCTCCCTCTTACTCCACCTTCCCATCCCCGAAACCCTCCCACATGCTCCTCCCCTCCTCCCCCCATATGACCTTGGCCTCCCCACACTGACTTCAGCATCCCTTCCCTATCCCCACCTTTCCACCTCACATGACCTCGTTTCCCCTTCATGACTATCTCCCCCTGACTCACCATCTCCATCATTTCAGCCCCAAGAGGGTGAGCTCAGTCACTTCTCTGCCTGCTGGACCAGCGAGCAGCTGTGGCTCGAGGGGACACTTGGGCCATGGAGTCTTATCCCTGAAGGCTGGAAAGGACTGGACCAGCTCCGACCCCCTCCTGTTGAGGCGGAGGGAGGAAGGGTTCTCATACTGGGGTGGAACTTTCTAGAGCACCTCTGTGCCGTCCTTGTCTGATGAACCAGTTAGGGTTCCTCTTGGGGCTCTGCTGCCTGGGGGTCCCCAACTGTGCAACCCCACCAGAGCTGCCCCCACTGCTGACCGGTGAGGGCCTGCCACCTGCATCCCCTCTTGAACACCCCACAACTGTAGTCCACATCTCAGAGGAAGAACTGGGCTGGTCTCTGACAGCCAGAAAGGACTGAAGGTGCGAATCCGTGCAGGAGGCCTCCTTCAGGCCTGAAGGACCAAGCCTTGTGCTCTCAGCCTGCAGATGGGAGGACAGACCGGCAAGGAGACACCGCAGCCAGCTGTCAGGACTCATGTCACTCTGTCACTGTGCCATGGCCGTGCCACTGTGCACCTCCTCTGTTCCTCCCTGGAGGAATGATCACACTGAATGATCAGTCGTGGCCAGTGGAAGCTTCCGGAGCTGGCTGATGGACACACCAGAACATGGCAGTAGAAGGAGGCTGGCCTCGGAATGCAGACAGCTGTGTGGCTGGCTGGGCATCTACAAGTTTGGGGGCTATACACGAACTGGAGTCCTCACAGGCCAGCCGTGCTTGCTGCAGGCTTCTGTGTGGCCAGGCCACGTCATCCATGACCTCGCATGATGGCAGTCCCAGCAGAGCCGGCCATGTGCTGCCAGTGTATGGACAGAGACAGCTTGTGCCCACACAGCCTCAGGTAAGGAGAGACATGGTGTCCATCCCTCAAAGGTGCCCTCCAGGGGTACACTGGGCCTCCAGGCCTTCCAGACCCCCTCTCTCCAGGCGCTTCCCAGTCAGACAAGTCTGTAGCATCAGAGGCACCTCTGCTTCCTGTGGGGTCTCTGTGTGCACCCCACACCCTGTCCTGCTCTCTACCTCCCTATCTAGTCCCAGTTCCTTCCTCAAAAGGTGCTTCACTATCCCAGGGGGACACAGGGGCTCCAAGAACCTCATCAAAGGCTTGGCCCTCAGGTTGTGGGCCAGCCTGACCCCACACCCAGCTGTGGGGTGCAAGGGCATCTCCCTGGATATATGCCCCCAGTTCCCACTCAGCTTGCAGAAAGCTGACAGTCCTGTGTAGGTAGCATACATGTGGGCGCCCTGTGAAGTGGAGTCCTTCTGCCTGGGCACCTCCCAGGGCTCAGGGCTCTCACCACCACATAGCTCTCATGTAGATGTTGCCCAGGCTAGTGAGGTGGGGGTCTGTGCTGGTCACTTGCCAGGGACCCTCACACCTCAAGGCCTGAAAAAATCTGGTGGGAGTGATTTCAGCACCTGAGGAGGAGGAATAGGACTTGCCCACCTTTGGGCAGCGTGGGGAGGGTCTCCAGGGGCCCTGTAGTGGGCATCTCAGCCTACAGGCTTGGCAAGCGCCTGACTCTGGACCAGCCATCCTAGTGACGTCCTTTGCTTTGTCAGTATTGGCGCCTGGACCCCTTGAGACATTATGGGTTGGGAAGGGGCTGTGGGCTACACAGAGGAGGCATTTTCGTGAGCCTTGGAAAGTCATAGCCCTGTATGGAGCGGGTGCCCCAGCAGGGACCGTGTCCCCTAGCTGTGTTCTCTGTGCCCTTGGGCCAGGGCAGGGCATGGACCCCACGTCCACCATCTGCCTGCCCTAGGCTGGGCGATAGGAGCTGGGGCTAGTGCCATGCTCTGGACCCATTTTCTAGTGAGGCTATGATGAGGAACAAGTGGGGAAGACGGTAGTGACCACCCCACTGGCCATCAGAGAGCACCTGTTGTCCATTTGACAGGGCTCTGAGACAGTAAGTGTTGCATCACCCCCATAGACACAGGCTGTCGAGACCATCCCTGCCCCCATTCTGAAGAGGACAGTTTGCACCTGCTGCTAGCACGGTGTTGGGCACAGATGTGGTGCCTCCCCCAGGTGTGCGGGCTGGACCGTTAACTCAGGCTTGTAAAAGAGATGTGACCCTGTGGCCACATGAGGGCGCTCCAGCCCAACAAGCCATCACCTGCATTTGGGTCCTGCACTGCCGCCCTCGGGATGGCATTTCCTGTTGCTGGACAGGGACAGTCCACAGTCTGTCACAGGCCAGGCAAGGGCACAGCCAGATGGGCAACATGCTACCAGGGTCACCTTGCCATGCCAGCAGCATCCTGGGGGCCAGTACTCAGTGCTTCCACCACACAGGATTCAGGCCAGCTGTGCACCCAGCAGTGAGGCCACTAGCCAGTATACCAGAATCTGACGTGTGCGTGTGTCATCTTCCCCTGGGGTAGGATGGCCACAATCAAGGTGGCTGCAGGCCCTGCAGGCTGAGGGAGAGTCTGCCATCCCCTCCTGCCTGCTAGCCCTGTGACGTGTCCAGCAGGCAGGCTGGGTGTCCACGGGCTTTCCCCGGCTGTGAGCCTCAGAGACCAGATTCCATCCAACTAAGAATCCCATGGATACACTCCCCCTAACAGCAAATATTTTTAGAAGAAAACTAACGAACAGCAGCTATACACATGGATCTTACCTGATGGACGACATAGGAATCAGATTGACTACATGAGTGCAAAGAGTCAATGGAAAAGCTCAATATCAAAACAGGCCAGGAACTGACTGTGGGACAGACCGTCAATTACTCATATGCAGGTTCAAAAGGAAGTTGAAGAAAATTAAAGCAAGTCCATGAGAACCAAGACATGACCTTAAATCTGTTCCGTTTGAACTTAAAAGCCATCTTAATAGATTTGAGGCACTGAGTACTGATGACTGAAGACCAGATAAGTCGTGGTACAATGTCAAGGACATCAGATGACACTCTGAAAACTGCATTAAAACATAGGCCAAAATAAACAGAAGAAAAGCTGAAGTAAAAGAGATGAACAGAAGATTTCAAAGGAGAGTTTGAGAAAACAAAGCAAAATAATATTAGTAAATGTGTAAATACCGGAGTTATAAAATAATAAGAGAAGAGCTCACTTGATATTTGTCGCTGTCTATTCACCAGCAACCCTGACGGGGGTAAGCACAACAGAGACACTCCCTCCGGGAGCCGTTCAGAGAGTCAATCCAGCTCAACTTTATTGGGGGCTGCAGCATACTTATATACAAGCAAGTAACCAGGAAGACAGGATAGGGTGGGCTTGCGGACGTGGGTCATGCAGATTCATCGGGGGAACCTCAGCGGATCACTCCCAGCTCAACAGATGCAGCAGCTGTCTTCGCAGGTGACGAGCTTTCGCAAGCCTGGACAGCCAAACACAGGGGAGCTTTCTCTACCCTTTTTCAAAGCCATTGGAAGGGTTGCACTTATCTGGAGCTTAAGCGATCTGTTCTGGCCAGAGGCCCTCCCTTCCTCCTCAACATTCCCCAACAGACATTTCTCAGAATGAAGGAACTGAAAGACCTCAAGCCTCGAGTTGCAACACTGAAGGATTCTATGTGTGGAATCCTGAATGATGCAAGAAGCATCAAAAGAAGATGGAAGGAATACACAATCACTGTACCCAAAATAGTTGCTTGACACTGAACCATTTCTGAAGTAGCATATGACCAAGACCCAATAGCAATCATGGAAAACATTTAAACTGCACTGAAGGCATTGGCAAAAAATAAGCCCCCAGGAATAGATGGAATACCAATTGAGGTATTTCAACAAACACATGAGGCCTGGACAAACTCACCTGTCTCCTGTCTATGCCAAGAAATTTGGAAGACAGCTACCTGGT